ATTTGTAAGAAGCTGGGGTCAAGTAACGCGCAAAGCAACACAGCAAAAGGCAAGCGCGCCTAACCCAGGTTCATCTGGTGATAGGCTGGGGGTGTTATGTATCCCAGAGAGCCAAGCAGAGCTTCAATCAGCAGTTAATGAGGCAAGACCTGCAACAGATAGCCACTTTTAACTTACAAAAGCTTTTAGATGTCTCTGTTTACTTTGATCCATTTCAGTTAATTTGAGCCTGGTTAGGATGAATTTGCCTCTCTCTTTTTTCTTTTTTCCTTTTTTTTTTTTTTTTTTTTGGCTAGATAAACCCCCTGCTCCCACCCCACCCCCACCTCCCAAACAACAGTATCATTTACCAACTTTATACTTAACAAGTTTTGGGATCTTCTGTCAAGGTCAGCTACAATGATGCAAAAATCAGCGAGGGGGGGCCTGTAGCGCGTCTGCCCAGAATTTTGAAATCTCACCAGAGCAAGAGAAATGCACAGGGGGGCGGGGAAGGAAGTCTGCACTTGGGAGACATTTCGAGCTCTTCATTTGTGATTAGGGGAAGCCCGCGCTCTGTTCGTCCCTGGTTATTTCACCCATGTGCTGACCAGCAAGGTTTCTTTGTTAAAATGTTTCAGAGCGGATAAAATTAATTTACTGTAATGTGAAATAATCCAGGAAAAACCCATACCTGATGGTCACAGGCCCGCAGGGCAGCTCTAATAAAACAGCCACGTTTCCAGGCCCGGGGCGGCCGCTGAGATTCCGGGTTTGGGAAGCCGCGAGGACTCCTGTGCTAATGGATTTGCACCCGGGTCAGCCTGTTAACAGGGATGCGCTGGCCTAATGAGATCTTAATTAAGTTGGCTTGGCGCTTGACCTCCCAGGCTGTGTGTAACCACGCCTAGGACCACAGGAGGAACAAACTGTCCCGGAGCCTTTCCCGGCATGCCCCGGGCTGCCCGCCTTCCCGGCATGCCCCAGGCTGCCCGCCTTCCCGGCATGCCCCAGGCCCATTCTCTCTGGCACCCTGGTTCTTTTCCCAGGTGTTTCCTGCTCCTGCCGGCACTCTTGTATTCTTCTCGAGCTTGTGCCGTGTTCCAAAGCACTTTTTCTTGGTTAAAAAAAAATTAAAAAAAAAAAAAACACTATATTGAGGGGCTAGCGTGGTGGCACAGTGGGTTAAGCTGCCGCTTGTGACCCCAGCGCTAATATGAACAAAGGTCCTCTCTTCTGCTTCCAGTTCTGCTCCCTGCTAATGTGCCTGGCACGTAAGAGACCAGGAAGGAGCTGCTGGCTTCTGGCTTCAGCTTGGCTCAGACCCTGCCGTGGAGGCCATTTGAGGAGTGAGCAGCAGATGGAAGAGTCTCTCTTTCCCCTCTCCCTCTCTCTCCCTCTCCCTCGCCCCTCTCCCTCTCTTTCTCTCTCTCTCCCTCTCCCCCCCCCTCCTCTCTCTCTCTCTGTCACTCTACCTTTAAAATAAATAAATTTTTAAAAAGACTATATTTGAGGCAAGTGTGTATTTCTTTTTGAAAAAAAACTTCTGTACATCTGGCTAGCAAAGGTAATTTCATGAGTGCACTCGAGACAGGTTTGGCTAACGTCTATTTCTTAAAAATAGACTTTTCTCAAATGAACTATATTCCCGTTCCCCACTCCCCACCCCTATCCCGTCTCCTACATTTCCAGGAAGTATTATGAAGATATTTAAGTTCATGGAAGGAACAGGATGAAATCCTTAGGCATTTCTGCCCTTAAATAAATTGGAACTACTGTAAAGTGTTCTCTTTGCATGCCTGCCCAACAAAGACCCAGTGGGACCGTGAGGGAAGCAAAGCTAGGAAACTTGACTTCTACTTTGGGTCCTTCATGGAAAATAAAAGGTTAAGTACCCACCTTGGAGGGGAATGTTACCACCAGGAAGGGCTCTGGGCACTCCACATCCCTTCTCTGCCGCCCTCTCTGAGAATAATAGCAACAAAAATATTTATGCACTGCCGACCAAGGGACATTGAGCTAAATGCTTTAGGTTTCTGCAAATGTGTAGAGTGTCTCGTGTGCAAGCTTACTAAATTCAGTTAATGATGGTGGCAGTTGCTAATCTGTAGGCCAAGTTATTCCTTTCATTCACGGTCTAGAGAGAGATGACACGGGCATGTTGAGTCACTCAAAACAGGCTCAAACCACCCCAAGGAGTTTGCTGATGAAAGGTTTTCCTTGCCTTCAAAGCCACTTCCTGTGTCACATGACCTATATCACTCTAAAGATAATAACACTTCCCTTTTATCCAAAGATCTCAAAGCATTTTCAAATGTTAATTAAGCCTTCCTCATCCTGGAAGATAGCAATGCCAGTCTCGCTGCTTAAACACTATATTCCAGAACACAGGTTGTTCTAATCACCGAGAGAGAAACGGAGGCCTCTTTGAGGAAATCCAGTATGTGAGCCACCACCCAAAAACTCAGAACACCCAGAATTCTCCTACATCTCCTGGGAAGCCACAACAGTATCCTGTTCTGTTGTCCCCTGGCCCCACGGATTGCTTCTTCTGCAAGCAACATATCCAGGCAAATAAAAATGGGGGGGGGGGGGTGCAGCAAAGACTTTATAATTGTTCCCCTGTGTTTCGGGGTGAAAATGTAGGAACACATTTCTGCACACATATTTGTGCTCTCAGCAAATAGAAAGGACCCTCAGCTATAAGCTCTTTTAAAATTTTTAATGTATTTATTTGAGAGGCAGAGAAACAGAAACAGGCAGAGAGCTCCCAGTGATCAATTCACTTCCCAAATGCCCACAATGGATGGAGCTGGGAACTCAACACAGGTCACCCACATGGGTGCCAGTAACCCAGTCATTTGAGCCACTACCTGCCACCTGCCAGGGTCCACAGCAGCAGAATCAGGAGCAGAACCAGTACTTAAACTCAGTCACTCTGATATGGGACACAGGTGTCTCAACAGGCTTCTTAATCACTCCGCCAAATGCTTACCCCTTTATGCTTTTTGGTTTTTCATAAGCAGATGGGGGGCAAAATAATCAACTTTCCCCGTGCTCAGATGTGACTGTTCAGGATGCAGTTTGCCTGCCCTCCTATTTCACACTCATCAAGAACTGACTCTGACCCAGGGAGCGGGCAGATTTCAGGCTGCTGTGCAACCTTTAGACTGCAAAAGGAAGACCAGTGGCCACCAAAGCCCGGATAGATGCTTCCTTTTCTCCCTTCCAGCTTCAGCTCCCTCTACTGCTCCACACTAACTATCTCTCCATTCTTCTGTGGGCCAAGCTGTATTCTTGTCCCAGGGTCTTTGCACAGGATTTCTCTTCTACCTGGAATGCTTTATGTCCTGTTCCTAATAGAACTCTACTCATAGAGTAGACCCCTAACAAAGTTAGCTTTGCTCTAATGGCAGACTGTTCGGTGATGAGCATCCATAAATTTTTTTTGTTTAATGACTCCCCTCTACTATAAGTTCCATGAACAGAAGGGTTGTATCTATTCTGTTCCTCACGTTAAATCCATGTCTGGTACTTTGGATGCCCACAGAAAAATTTATGTTAAATAAATTAATGAGTAAGTGTTTTCTGATCTCTTATTTCTTTTAAAGTGATATTACACAGTGACTAGGACAAGAGGCAAATAGATACCTGAAATTTCATTTTCATCATTGAAGGTCTTAGCTTATTTCTACCGTTTTGAGAATAGCAAACAATCTGAACAATTTGGGTAAATATGACTTTTTCTCCAACAACCTGGAGAAGAATCTAGTCGTATCCCCATTTTGCCATCAAAATCACGGGGACCGAGTGTCGTAATTTGCCCATGTCTCTGAGATTTCTCCTTCCATTCATTTGCTTCCTAAGCCCTCACCATGTGTTAGGCACTCTAGTAGTAGGGCAATGCCCAAGACAGGCATGGCTTCCTTCTTGGAGCTTTTCTCGTGGGTCCTCAGGGCAATAGCAGAGTGCATTCTGGTGCACATTTGGTGCTTGGTAAACACTTTTAAAACCAGGCGGCCATTGGAGGGTGAACCAACGGCAAAGGAAGACCTTTCTCTCTGTCTCTCTCTCTCTCTCACTGTCCACTCTGCCTGTCAAAAAAAAAAAAAAAAAAAGAAAGAAAGAAAGAAAGAAAAAGAAAGCTTGATGGACTGTGACTGAGTTCCTCCCAAGTTTAAAGGAGTCCAAGTACCTCTGCAGTGTTGGTGGTCGCTACCTGACTTGCCTGGGGGGCTTGTGGTTTGCTATTCATTGTGTAAATGTGTGCAGTCCAGAAGGAGGTCACAGACATTCTATTATTTTGATAAAAAGACAAAGATCAATATTCATGAAAGTTTTCATGCATGCTACTCCATTGCAGCCAAAGTGATCTTTCGCAAACATTCGCCAGACCATGTCTCTCTGATGATGTATCCCATGGCCTGAGGATGGAGTCCAGTCTCCCCATCTCCTTGAGTTGGATCATGAGAGCTTAACTCTCATTCTGGAATAATCTCTGTCTCACCTACTGACTTTACTTATACATTTCAGACTCTGTAAAAATCCTTTCTCTCCCCCCATCAACTCTAGGCCTTAAACATGTTCTACTTCTTAGTAACCCCCTCCCTGCACTCCCCACCATACCACAGCTCATTGCCCACCATGAACAGAGTTCATCTGTGTGCATAACTGTTATCAGACAGTGCTCTTGGGAACAACTCCTGAGAACAGGAAGATAGCCCGGATGGAGGGAGATGCTGAACTGCAATGGAGCAGCAAGCAGGACCTCAATGAACCTACTGTGAGCTGCGGCCCCAGGCTGACACTCAGAGCTGCCCTATCCAAGGCAAGGAGGGGTCCTGCACGATGCTGTGCAGGGAGAGGAAGGGAGCCGCGAGCAAGGCCGCTTCCTTCAGCGGAGGGTGGTTCCTGATGATGGCTGAGTGCCATCAAAAGCAACGCTGCTGCCAGCTGGGAAGCAGCGGTCCTTAAGGAGGTGTGTGAGCGGTGCACCACAGCACCCGCCAAAGTCTGCTTACCTCTGCTCAGCTTTGGGGTCTCAGCTTGAATGTCTCTTCTGCTAGAAGACCCCCTCCGACTCTCTAAGCCTAGGGGAGATACTCTTCCTCTTCCTCAGTGTCCCAGAGCACCTGCTGCCTGTCCTGGGAAAATATAAACCACATTAAAAAATTAACAGTCTATCAAAATATAAATAATCATGAACAAATTAAAGAATGAATGGAAATTAAAGATTCTTTTATTTTTAAATTTTTATTTATTTTCATTTTATTTGAAAGGCAGAGATAGAGACAGACAGACATGGATCTTCCATCCATTGGTTCACTTCCCAAATGCCTGTAGCAGCCAGGGTTGGGTCAGGTTGATGCCAGTAGCCAGAAACACAAGTCAGGTCTCCTACATAGGTGGCAGGGACCCAAGTACTTGAACCATCCCCTGCTGCCTCCCAGGGTGCACATTAGGAGGGATCTGGAATCATTTGGAAGCAGAGCCAGTACTTGAACTCAGGAATTCCAATTTGGGATGCCTGCATCCCAAGCGTTACAATCCCCACTCATCCACACATAAAAAAAAAAAAATCTGCAATGGAAAGTGTATTGAATTTGGAAGTTAAGGCATCCACATTCCATAGCAGAGTACCTGGGTTCTCTTCCTGCTCCAGCTCCTGACTGTTCCTTACTAATGCAGACCCTGGGAGGCAGTGGTATTAGGTCAAGTACGTGGGCTGCTGCCGCCCACATGGAAGACCTGGATTGAGTTCCTGGCTCCCAGTTTTGGCCTTAGCCCAGCCACCACCCAGTCACAGCCCTGTCCTGTCTACTGTGGGCAACTAGGGAGTGAATTAGCAATTGGAACCTCCCTCTCTCTCTCTTTCTCCTTCTTAGATAAATAAATGAATATTTTACGTCTGGATGACCGTTCACCGAAACATTGCTGTAATCTGTTGGTGGCAACACTGTGCTTGATTTTTATTCCTTCATTAGACCTTTGGTATATCTAAATTTTTATAAATACATATAAATTTTGCAAATTTTAAAAAAGTTGTAATCATTTTGAAGAAAAAATAAACATTGACAACTACTAGAATAATTAGTATTTATTGCTGAATCCCATTAAGTTATTAATTTTGTGCTGTAATTTAGAGTTCACTATATAGTTCATTAAAAGGAATTTCACATACGTAGTTTTGTTTAATCAGAAAGGGAAGTATGAGATTCTGATTCCTACTAGATTGCAAAATAAAGCGAACTCACTTCATCAGGAATGAGCTCACGCACCCGCACCGCCTGGGAACCCAGGCTCTCACAGGGGTGCTTCTCCAGCATGTTCATTTTCCATGAGGTCTTGGCGGGTTTTGAGGAAACAGCACCATCAGGACTCCCACATGCTAAGCCAGCCTGTATCCCGAGTCTTCCGGCTACAGTCTCTGCCCTTCCTCTTCACTCTTCCCTCCTCCCATTCACAGAAGAGCGGGATGCCTCTTCCCTGGCCGCATTCTCATCATTTGTTTGCATAAACCTAATCTGCAGGGCCCTCTGGAGTTGAAAGCCCTTTCTGCCCCTCTGCTGTCTCCCCTTCTCTCCCACAATGATAACACTGTCCACAAGGCTTCCCCATACATCACCTCCCTGCATCTTCCCAACAACGCTTTGAGCTCTGCACATCAGATAGGATTGGCCCCATTCTAGAGATAAGGAAACCAAAACACAGGTTATGTGACTTGCCAAAAATCACAGTTAGTTACTGATAAAGAAAGGCTAGAATCTGGGGCCTTACAGAAAAGCCCAGGACACTCCATGTTTTTGCTTTGATCTTGCAGTCTAGCATATGACCCATTGATAGGGCCCTGCCGAATCTAAACCTGGTTAAGAACTAAACTGACGAAGGGAAGATTCTGGATTCAGTTTCTGGGGAGGCTAGTGGTGAGCCTCATGTGGGAGTCATGCCACAGACTGCAAGGACAAGGTCTGCTTGAGAGTGTGTGGATCAATCAGCTTAGCTCCATCACCTTGGTGACCTAAACAATTCAATCACCTGTTCTTTTAAGGCTATATAAATATATACACACAAGTATGTAAAGAACCATTCCCATAAACACATCACACAAATCTATGTTTCTACAACTGTTACTTTCTGTTTTCTTTCAAGTCGCCATGGGATAGTCTCAGCTGATGCCTATTGTCTTGGTGCATTGGTGATAACTCTCCCCTTCTTTCTTCCTTAATTATAAAGATTTAATCATCCTTTCTTCGTTTCCTTTCCCCTTCCCTCCCTCCCTCCCTCCCTCCCTCCCTCCCTCCCTCCTTCCTTCCTTCCTTCCTTCCTTCCTTCCTTCCTTCCTTCCTTCCTTCCTTCCTCTCTCTCTCTCTCTCTTTCTTTCTCTCTCTCTCTTTCTCTTTCTTTCTTTCTTTCTTTCTTTCTTTCTTTCTTTCTTTCTTTCTTTCTTTCTTTCTTTCTTTCTTTCTTTCTTCTTATTTAAAAGGCAGAGAGAAAGAAGGCAAGAAGGGAGAGATCTTCCATTTGCCAATTCACTTCCCAAATGCCTCCAACTGCAGCGATGGGGCCAGACCAATGCCAGGCGCTCAGAACACCCCCCAACCCACCCCCAGTTTCCCACAAGGATGACAGGGATCCAAGCATCTGAGACGACTCTCCCTTTCACTGCCAAAAATGTTCTAGTATAGAGGGCAATTTATACGGTCATCTTATATACACTCTACAGAAAACAAATGAGCGATTTCAGTAGACACTGAAAAGTATTGATTTTCAAAGTGGCAAGCCCCCAGTGTTGTAGGAAGGGTTGCCATTACTGAAATACACGGCTGGAAAAAGTCCCAGTGTTAAATAGCCCTCACTAAAGACACAGCGAGACACATACCCCTTTGTGTTATGCCGGGCTCAGGTTTTAAGATGTAGTGAAACTCTGGCTAGCTTCAATCCAGTTGCTAAATGATTTTGGGTTTTCTGCACTTCACTCCCTCACCTGATATTATATCTTTGTCTCATTGCTTATCAGAAGTCTTCCTTTCCACATTCTTTTTTTTTTTTTTTATGAGAAACAAATTAGAACTCTCAATGTTTTGGCCTAAAATCAGAATACCTCCACGTTTCCCAAAGGCATCTTGCCAAGGCAATGGCTTTAAAAAAAAATCTATTTGCCAAGTGGTAAGATTTTCATAGTAATTCCAACTCATGAACTTTGAGCTTCTTCAGTCTTCCCCCCCCCCTTCTCCAACATCTGAAACAGGGGGAGACTATCCATTCTTGAGTTTCTTAAAAACTAGAATTGGGGCCGGCACTGTGGTGCAGCGGATAAAACTTCCACCTGTGACGCCAGCAGCCCACACGGGCACCGGTTCAAGTCCCAGCTGCCCCACTTCCATTCCAGCTCTCTGTTGATGTGCCTGAGACGATGGCTTCTCTTGTTAGGGCATGAGATCTTCCAAAAGTTCACAGGAAATGCAGACTATGGAAAAAATAGATTTATAATTTTTTTAGTACTAAAATAAACCTATCTTTTGATTGCATTTTCTAAATTTTTGAAGTATTCTCATTTTTCCTTTTGGAAGACCCCTTGTTCTAACCCTAAGTTGATGCTCCAACTGTACAGATGAGGAAGCAAACGCTCAGCTGTCCAAGCTTGCTAAAGTGGTCAAGTAGGATTCAAACTGGCTGCAGGGTTTCAGAGCTGCCCCTCATTTCTTGTGTTCTCATTTGAACCGGGTGTGCTGTCCGCTGGCACCATGTGAGAAAGGGATCTGATAGTGGTGTTTTCTTCCGCCAGCATCCTTGCAGCAGATGTCCTAACTTCACTGCAACACAAACCCGGAGATAACGTGGGATCTGGCCAGAGTGGAGTTACATCCTGGCGGAAGTACAGAACCCCAGGCTTCCAACAGTGAGCGCACTAGTATATCACATTCTTTCAACAGCCCCAGGATAATGGAGGACAACGATGACATAGGTAACTTAAAATAATAGAACAGTTTTTCCAAAGTCTTCAGCAGCTATCTTTTGAATTCATTATATGATTTTTTTGAGCTCCAAACTACATTTTTCAAATGTAGTAACTACATTTTCAAATGTTGTAACTACAACTGTTAAGCAGTTTCTGGACAATGTTAGCTAGGTGTTCAAGCAAGTCAGCCAAGGAAACACTGGACAGCCAGGAGACTGAATTCAAGACCCGGCTTCCACGAAGCCAAAGGGCTGGTGGCTCTGGACAGGCCACAAACTCTTCTCGTCCCCAGCTTCCTCAAGAATAAAATGAAGGTGCTTAACCATAAGATTTCATTGTTTATTCAAAAAAAAATTAGGTACACTATTAGATATCAATACAGAGGCCTGGTTCCCATGATGTCTGTAGCCTTGTGGAGGAGACAGATAAGGCAATAGACGATTTCAATGGAGTGTGATCAGTGCTATGGCTAAGTAAATACGGGGTGCTACTGGAGCACACAGGGGGGCTGGGGATGCATTTGGGGGGGCGTGGGAGGAAGGCACCCAGTACATAGGATGCCACATGAAGCAGAGTGGTAAGGAAGCAATACAAGCTGCAAGGTGACCTGTGTATATGGGGAGGGTAGCGAGGGCAAGGGGGTGGCAGCCCAGGCAGGCAGGACAGCCCAGGCCTGGAAGGGAGCTGTACGGCCTCTTGTGAAACCACAGGAGGTTTGTGAAAAGAGAGTAGGAACAGAGGAGGTGGAGAAGGAGGCAGGGGCTGTGTCCATTATTAGGAGACTTAGTTATCACCAAAAGGAATCCCAAGTCCACTCACTCCTTCAGGAACTGTTTACTGACCTGACTGGGTGCCTGGCATTTAGGTTATGAGGTTTCCAGAAGACTACATAACAAAGGTGTCTGCTTTGACAAAGCAAAACAGGAATCCATTCAAGGGCTTATTTTTTAATGTTTATTTATTTACTTATCCTTAAATATTTATTTCTTTATATTTATTTGAAAGGCAGACTGACAGAGAAAGAGAGACAAGAACAGAGAGAAGGCTTCCATCTGCTTGTTTGCTCCCTAAATATCTACAACAGCCAGGATTAGGTCAAGGCTAAAGCCAGGAGCCAGGAACTCAATGCAGGTCTCCCACATAGGTGGCAGGGACCTCAGCCATCATCTGCTGCCTCCCAGGGTG